CATGTGGACCGTTGGATCAAGGTTAGATCCAACGGCTAAGGATCTGCGATAGTTGGGGCGTTGGATGAAAACCCTAAATAGGTGTAGGGTTTTTTTGTTGGGCCAGTCTGGGTTAGACTCTTGTAACTGGGTCGGTCCGATTTTGGGCCTGTAATGTAAATAATATTTTTATTAATAATAATAATAATAATATAAATAATGAAAAAATTGATGTCTACAGTAGAAATATTTCTTGGAAAACTAGACAAACTTATCCCAAGCAATATATAACTTCTTATTCATTGAAGTAATATATAGATAAACACATAATTTTATGTTAAAAGATGTAAATTTAAGAATTTATGTTAGAAATTTAGGAAGTACGAAATTAGATTATCAATAAAAGACAAATGCTGAAATTGTCAAATAAATAAATCCTATTCTCAAATAAATAATAGAGAGTAGTATAAAGAAGTAAAGTCAATCCGTAAGAACTAAGGAAATTAATACTTGTCATTTCCTAGATTGAGTTAACTGCAAAAATAAAAGAGGAGGATTTAAAAACAATAAGAGTAATAAGGTAAAAATAAATAATAATTAAAAAATGATAAAAAAGTAAATAAATGTAGAAGAATTTGATAATGATGATATAGCCATAGGCTTTGCTAGCCTCAATTTTGATTGATCATCGAAATAAATTTTCCTCCTCGTTGTATGCTTGTTACAGTCAATAGGACTCAACCCTCGTAGCTAACTATTTTCTCCAGTTAACCAATATTTTCAAATTTATCTCCGAAATCCGTTCTTTGTTGATCTAACCACATCTATCACCGTTAGTATCATGACAACTTTAATTATGATCAATTGATATGATTTCCAAACTGCAACCAATGTCGAATTTTGAGATAAAGGTGTTGTAACTTTTAAAAAAATGGTTGATTGTCACTTACAGTTTTCAGATAATCGAAGAATACAATATGAAGTTGTGAAGTGCAACTCAACTCTCACAATTAAAATTGAGTCATCACAAAACTTTAGGCCAAGTGAAAGTTAAGCTAATCATGGATTGGATAATGCTTAGCATAATGGAAGAAAAAAAATTCCATTATGTGTTCAAAGGTTGAACTTAAAGGGAATTTGAATTAATGAACTATATTTAAATATAAAGATTTATCACAAAAAATAAAGACAATTATTAAAATTTCTAGTTATAGTTGGATTCTGTTTTATCTTCTGGATAATTTTCTCCCAAACATTTATCTTTAAGATAATTTCGAATTTAACTTCAAGATAATGTTGGACTGTCTTCTAGAAGCTACTAATTGTATTGTTGAAATCTACTGTGTCGGACTCGAACTGTGTCGTGCTCGTGTCCACGACTCCTGCCACGAGTTTGAGTGAACTTCAAATCTCACCTTTAACTGTTGATTTTGGGCTGATTAATTTAATGAAGTCTCTAATAAAAAACATGCCAAAAAAGAAACGAATCAATAATATCAAGATGAAAAATGAGAAGTAAACAAAACTAAAAATACGCAATACTCTACGCTTATTGATAGAAAATACTTAAATTAAGTCACACCCTCAATATTCCTCCATCCATCCATCCGTGAAGCAAGCGTCTTTAGATTTCCTTTATTACAAGATCTAAGTGCGCAGCAACACCAAGAATGTTTAATTCACAAGTGACCACAACAACTATTTTCCAGCTCCGTTACACGAGACATGAAATGGCTTTCTTTACAAGGTATCAGGCAGCTGTTTTAGTCAACAAAGAAGCTTTCTTTAGTCAAAGTGTGATGACCAAGAAACCCTTTTCTCTTCTTTTCATTTCTACCCTTTTTGTCTAATGCCACTCTTGTTGAGAAAACAAGACACTCACTCAATAGTTTGCCCTTTGAAGGCCATAATTGCTCAAATCATTTTCTTGGGCAACAAAAGAAAACAAAAGAATCCGATAAAAGTCGATAAATGAGCTTATAAACAAGTAGATAAATGAATTTCTAAAAAAAATTGTTTGTGAACATAAACGAATAGTCAAGTCTACTCGCCAACATACGGCTAATCTTGAACACTGCTCGACAAGGCCCTTAAAACACTAGATAGAAGTATCAAACGACATCCATGAGCCCATTGTGGCCAGCAAGTTTGATTCACATCGATCAAAATGATCTGATATTAATAAAAGAATCGTGTGAAAATTGTGCAATAACTTGTTGGGCCATTTCATTTTCCATCACCAAGTTGAAAACTCGACTCAATAGCCCAAATACCCAAATGTTCTAAACTGGGTCACTGAAATAGACTCAAAATTTTTAAGGTTTTTCTTAAACTTTAAAGGTATTATATGATTTTTCGAATAGTCTGAGATGATCATAAGGTAGTATATGTTTAGATGCATTTTTTAATCCAAATAATCATTGAACTTTTACAATTATATCAATTTGGTCATTGTAGTTAGATAATCATTAAATCTCTAACGAAATTTAATTCAATACGTTACACGCCACTTTCTTTGATAAATATCTTCAATAAGAGGGTGACACGTATTATATTATTAACAACAAAATAAAATGATTTATTTTAACATTGAGAGAACCTAAAATTTATTTTTACCAAAAATAAATACATGCAAACTACTTTGGTGTCTGGTTCTCCTCCTAACAGTATTTAAGAGAGAATCTCTGGAGCTTTCTTGAATAATGTTAAACCTATATGTCATCTTTGACTTTAGATAAACTTATTTAAATTGAAAATTGACTTGCATAATTGGCATTAACTTAAACCGGTTGCCCATGTAGAATGATGTCAAAGTGTAATAATCCACATTAATTACAACAAACTGGGTTGGTTTCTATTTAATTCCGAGCCAAACATATGAACAAACAGATTATGTGTAGAAAAGAATGTTAAGCATAGAATAATCGGCACATGAAATGGACATAATCCTGGAGATTGGCCCCGCTTAATTCACTCCAATTTATAGGGGGTGGACTGGTTCTGGTCAGGTATGTACACAACCCCAACTTTTATCCAATAATATCCCAAATGCCTGAACAAAAAACTAAAGGCAAAACCCATCCAAATCCAAAGAATCAAACTTGAAATCATATGCAAATTCCAAAGGAGTTGTGATTTACAGGGGAGGTCTGGCCCTCCAAGTTGGGTTCCATGACTGCTGATTGAAAAACCAATGGGACACTGTGGGGTGCAGATGAGGGATTGTATCGCAAGATTTGGAACTTCATTTGGCATTTCGGGAAGGGATCTAATTCTAACCACACTGTTATTTTGTAGCTAGCAGCCCTTCTTATCCACTTTTAACCCTAAAAATTATGGGTTTAATGATATTTTTTACCCTTGAATTTTTCAGATAAATTTATTAAAAGAAACCCATTTTGTAAATGGATGGACATCCATAATTTCGTATGTCAAAAGCTCAACAAGGTAGTGTGGAGTGACATCCCCCGTTGCCCACTTTCTTTAATCTTTCTTACTTGATGTGATGTTCTACAATTTCAGCAACACGTCCACTAAACTACAAACTTACAATATATAGATATGGTATTAGGGTTATAAGACCTTCCTCTCTACTGCACATTGCCATATTGCCAGGTAGGGGGATATTACAAGTATATTAGCAAAATGCCATCTTTTTTTTTAATTGACACCACGTACGTATTAAGAGTATCTAGGGCGAGCCCAACAACTTTATCCATATTCCACGTTATCCTGATTCCTCCTGATCGATCAGGTCATCAATTGACAGCCCATGTTTTTGTTTATTACTACATCTTTTTAAAAGATCGGTGTGGCTGCCAACTTGTGGTTCCACACGTGGAACATGACGTTTCGATACGTGGGCGGTTCACGTTCAATCACTTAACGCTGTCACCCGGACGTGTCGCGGTACTCTTTGATCTTCCGACGTAAGCGCTTCGAAACAACAAAAACTAAACCACAGTAGAACTGGACTATGGCTATGACTAGACAGTTGCTTCTTCACATGATATTGATCACGCATACACTGTTCACCGGTAATGTTATCTTCACATGAAAGGTAAATTTATATATAAAAGAATTGTAATATTTTCACATAACTAACTATTTTGCCGGTCTCCCTTCGATCCTTCTCTTATATATGGAGAATAAGTGGTTAATGTGCCAAAGGCGGCACCATATTGCAAAGTCACGTGTTTTAACTCCAAAAAAGTCTCGACCACGAAAAATTTATGACACATTTACAGCTTTTAAATGAAGTGTGTGACTTGGATCGGAATGTGAAAAATAACAATAGTAATCCAAGCCGTCCAGTGCCCATCATGTCGTACTTGCACAATTTCAAGATCCAATAGTCAAATTCCAATCAAGTTTGTAGGGCCCATCTTTTTATGTATATGGGCAAAGGCGCGGCTAACCTAACCATTGGAAAATTGGACACACAATTTCAACCATATCCTATCCCACAAGGACACACGGTTGAAGTTGGGTACTTGACCACCGCCATTGATGAACCCCCACCAACCAATAAAAGAAACCACATTCTAAAAACGGAAATAAAACAATCAAATCATATGCTACAAACAAACTAAAACCTCTCTTATTTCTTCATTTCCATAACCCCAAAACATATATACCTTAGCAGAACACGGTACACGACTTTCTTTTCCCCCTAAAACCTATTTACATATTTGATTATTTGCTAAATATGTATAATCTCACTCTAAACATGAAATTAATCATTGTAAACACTAAAAGGGGAGCTTCTAGTTGTTGCATTTTGGGGCTTATTGATGCTTCTCATGTTTTATATACACAATACTGTGACAATGGCGGCTCTTCAAACATCTGAGGGCAAAAGGGAACAACACTATGGCGGCTATGGCTAATATTGTATGATTAGTCCTCCCATCGGAGCTCGATGGGGGATCCCCTTTCTTCTTTTGGCATTTCTGTAATTAACCAAAGTCGGAGGCGGCGTCGGAGGGCTGAAGCTCTGCACTTTGATGTTCTTCTTCAACTTTCCATGGCGGCTGCTGCTGCTGCTGCATGAATCTTCGGAGTCCGATGCCATGACCGCCGTGTGCCTCCTCTTCTTCTGGAAATTTCCCGATGTGCCCACAACCTGGAATTTGAAAGCTAGAAAAAGTCAAACATAGGTTTCACCAAACGAAAATTATGCAAATTTGACCGTATTGGTTTGGAAAAGTCCTTTACAGTCGTACATCTTTCTCAGCTACCAAACAACATCGTTACTACCGATAAAACTAATTAAAGAAAGAAGAAACAGAGGATTTACCTTGCAACCAAGAGAGCAGAATCGGAAGGAGTCGACGAGGCTACGGTCACAGACCTCACAAGTGTTGGTGACGCCTTTTCCGGGCCTGGGTTGAGGCCTCTCGTTGATGAAGACAACTTTAGCGCTGTTAATAACATAGGTTTGGACACCAGATATGTCCACGTATTTCTGTATCTCAGATACCCTTATCACATCATGGTATGAGGATCTCCTAATCTGTAAAAAAAATCAGAGCAAATCGCATTAGAAAATCGAAATAAATGTGGAATCTTGGAGATGAACGAGGAAAAAAAAGAGGGTAAAAATCAATGAGAAACTTGTGAGCTTTATAGTCTTATCTGTCAATAAATGCAAAATCAGATTAGACCATTTTCAGGAGAAATACATATTGAGTTATATTTTGTGGGATTGGTTATTAGATCGGACAATCACCATTGTTTTGGATGACAAGATCCTTTTACAAGGAGCCAGTGCCTGTTTGGATGCTGAGAAAATATGAACGTTATAGTCTTTTTCAGTACATTCAAGAAGAACAGAGCAAGAAGAAATAAATTTGGAGAGGAAATTCAAAGAAGTGTGCTTTAAATCAAAATTGGAAACAAACTCGATTAAGAAAGGACAGAGCAGAAGCCCAGAATTAGAAACACAAATGCCAGAAAAAGGGTATTGAATAACGGGATTCCTCATGTCTCCATAAGAGGAAATGACACAAATTTCAAAAGGAAAAAAAGGGTGGAAAAAAAACAGCAGTAGTATTTGTTAACAAAAATGAATCAAAAACCAAAAATAATGAACCTGAATACATCGATGATCCTTGTGATAAGCTAGACATAAAGAGCAGAGAGCGCCATTAACACAATCTAAGCAGTACATATTGCATTCACTCTTGTGAGAATCAGCATGAAGCTTGCATTGAACAAAGAAATGTTCTCTTAACAAAGGCTTCAACCATGGCGGCCACATGTTGTCTTCTTCATCAGGTCCACCAGCTCCCTATAAAAATAAACACATTTTTAATCGACACCCAAAGCAAAGAAACTAATAGAAAGTTGTAAACACAAAAGCTAAATTCAAAAGGTTGAAGTTTTTTTTAATGGAAGAATGAAAGATACCATGATTCTTCTGTTTTTGGGCTTGATTTCACGGACAGTTGATTCTTGGTTTTCGATCGCCAGCTTGAAAGACTTGAAGTGAGTGAGGAGATAGAAAGAGAAGAGAAGGCGGCGAGCAGAGATAGGGGAAGAGAAGAGAAGAGAACGGAAAATTAAAATGAGAAAAAAGGAAGGGTGTATGATAATATACAGAGAGAGTCCACACTAACCTAGAACCGAAGCCATAGGTCTCGATGGATGGGAGATGCGTTAGGTGCAAGGAACCCACCTCTTTCTTTCCTTTCATTTTCACCCACGCATACATTTTTATCATTTTTTATATTTTCACAATTAATTTTAGGGCAAATTACCTATTTATTCACTGACTATTACTTATTTTTTGATTTAGTCAGACAACTATTTTGATTTTAAAACCATACATAATATTACATTTTAGTTTTGATTTGATCATCTGTGGCTAAAAATTAACGGCGATACTGATGTATCATCATAAGGTAAATGCCACATCAATTTTGAAAAATAAAAAAAAATATCATGTTTACATTACGGTTAAAAAATTAACGATGAGTGACCAAAACAGAATTAAAACGTAATGTTAGGTATGATTTTAAAAAGATAATAGTTTGATGACCAAAACAAAAACTAAATAATAGATAAGTTAGCAAATAGGTGGTTTACCCTTTTTTTAATTTATTTTCTAGAGTACGTAATTATTTGATGTCTAAATTCTTACTCATCCATATCATTTTTATCGTGAGGTAATTAATTTGAATAATGCTATTTTTATTATAAAATCTAATAATGCTAGTTTTTATTGTGCTGAAATGGTATAATTTTTAATACTAAATTAACAATTGATACTTTGAACTTTACTTTCTTTCTTTTTATATATACGAAAGTTGCAATTTTGGAAAAAAAAACGTCCGGATTTAATTTTAAAAAAAATTACCATTACAGCCGATTTAAGCAAATAACTACAGTTAAAAGTAATTAATACATAATATACATAGAATTATAATTATTATATATGTGTGATTATGGTTATACTAAATCCTTAAATTATATAAATCAATCCAAATAATTGAAGATTAAAATAATTTTTAACTAATTAGATTATTCATAAAAAAGAATAAATTAATTTTGAGATTTATATGTAATAAACATAAATCGGAATAAATTTAGATTTAGAACTTAAACTAGATTCAAACATATATATTCCTAGTGTTGTAGGAGTCGAACATGGGTGCTCAAACCATTTGGTAATAAATGCTCGTATCCTTGCATACGTGGTGCTTTAACCCAAAATCTCAAATGATAACAATAAATTTCTTAGTCACCAAAACTGCTTAGTTCATGCTATCAAAAAATAATTGAACATTTTATAAATGTAAGATGAAAAATCAGCTTCATGCACGTGAGGATAATATATGTGAGAGGACTTAAAGTGTTAGGGGCTGTTTGTTTGCCTCTTAATAGAGTCATTCAGCGCTGAATGTTGAATAGTTCAGCATTCAACGCGTTTGTTTTGCACCTATGAATGATTCAGTGCTGACTGATTCAGCAAAATAGTGTTGAATGATTCAGAACCATTATCAAACAACATGTCACATTCAGAGCTAATTCATACAGAGCCTCTGAATCATTCAGCGCTTAATCATTCTGAAGTAAACAAACAACCCTTTAGTGTTTATTTGAATCATGGTAAACTAAGGGCCAAAATTTAATAACAAATGATCACATGAAAATTGGATTGAACAATATTTTATAGAGATTTTAGGTTATGATCAAGCAATCCCATCAAACATTGTTGGGATTTTTAGTCACCATGAGTTGATTGAAGACCCAATTCACATGACTCATCTTTAGTGATCCTCAACTTCAAAATTCCATATGTTAACTACCAAGTTGGATTTGTATTACAATATGTTATATTTTGACCTAAATTAGAATTGGTAATTAAGTTAGATTTTATTGTAATTATTTTAGGTAAGAATTCTTATGAAATAAGAATTTTAACTCTATAAATAGAGATAATGTCTTAACCTAATGTGACTGAGAATTATTTTGGAGAGATTTAATTCTTTTTGCGATTTATGTTGCAAAGATAATTTTGTAGGGATTGAGAGAGTTTTTGGGATACCCAAGTTTTGGTATCCAGGGGCGGATATACATAGCTCCCTAGGGGAGCCATTGCACACCCATTATTTTGAGAGAAATTTTAAATTTAGTTTAATTTGTTAATGAGAATAGAAAAAATAAGAAAATTTGTATATCCATTTTTTTTTTAGAATAAGGTATTAAAATTTTGGACCCTCATTTTTTAATTTCTAGATCCGCCACTATTGGTATCTATATCGGATTTTGGGATATATGTGATATCATGTGCTTATATTCTTCATGTTCTCTATATCTATAATGGATTATCGTTCATCTCGCTCGTGGAATAATGTTGTATAAAATTATCATATTTACTATCAAATTTTTTTTTGTTTTATTGAAGTAATTAACTTTCTTCGCATTTCTTTAGGTTTAAGCCACGAAGAAACTATATTTTTACTTCCTCGTCGAAACCTCGAGAAAAATGCATCAAAATGATAGTAAACCTTTCTTCCCATTATTATTATTATTATTTGCATCATAAAGTTTGTGTAATATAAAGTTTAAATATTGCAAGTATTATTAATGTTTTGAAATTAGGTTTAATAGTCAAAGACATGGAGTGGAGTGTGGAGTATGTCCCAAACCCAAACGATTACTTTATGAGTTAGAATAATTGGGAATTGAACCTTCTAATTATCCTCCAACATCCCCGGACAAGCAATTGCATCTTCTACGGTATCATCAACAACCAACCAACTTAATCAAAAAAATCATAATAAATAAAATTAAAATTTCTTCAATATTTTTTTTGAAAAAATATAATTTTAATCTATACACGATACGACTATAATTAGAATTAATTAGTGTGATGCACAACTATAATTACAATTAATATATATATATATATATATATATATATATAATTATAATCAAAGTCAATAATTATAACACATAAATGAATAAATTGATAATAAGAATACGTCGAACTTTTAATTGTAATCAATATGAATATATATATATATATATGGAACTTAAACTAATATTTTTATTACATTCTTTCTTGCCAATTTTAACCCAAAAAAATACGACAAAGTAAACATCAATTATTGGTATTATTATTGTAGACAAGAAAACCAGGTCCCAATAATTATCCTTTGAAGTCCTTTTATTGAAATTAAATCAGTATATTGCCGTCCACACTTTATCATCAAACACCCTTCAATTAATATATATGGAAATACTTATAATTTTATGCTAAGAATTGTCCGTCCAGCTCAGTTGTTAGAGCGTAAGGCTCTTAATCTTGTGGTCGTGGGATCGAGCTCTACGGTGGGCAATTCATAATTGCCGGAGGTCTTCCACGGAAGTTGCTCTCAACCAAGCGTTGGGGACAACCTACTACCTTACCTCCCCTCCCCTTTACTCCATTACATATGGAAATATGATCAACTAATTTTTTTTTTATAATTTTATGCCAAATATTTAAATTTTTAAAAAATTATATAAATTTCAAAAATTTCAAAAAATAATTTCCGTTTCTCGATACTATCTCGATCTTTCTCTATATATTATATATTGTTTGTATAATTTGGTTGACCGGGTGGGCTGCCGGTGACTATAGAAGTCTATGGTACGTGGTTTGAACTCAGCCAACACGGCACACCATTCACTACTAGGGTACTTATCGAGTGAGTCGATCTCGATTTGGATAATGTTCGACTTGTATTCGTTAAAATATTTATTGTTCGACTCAATTCGTTGTTCGTTAAGCTCGTTGCTTATTAAACACGTGATTCATCTCGTTGCTTATTAAACTTACTGAAATTTTTACCTTATTTTTTAACTATAGGTAAAATATATTAAACTATGTAGAACTTAAGATAAACATAAATTAATACATTTAATCTAAAATTATCAAAAAGAGTGTATGAAGTAATTTTAAAGTCTAAACTCTAAAGCAACAATCCATAAATATATTAAAATAATAATTTAAGGTTTGATTTTGGATGTAGTAAAATAATAATTATTAATAAATAATTTAGTATTTCTTTATTTTTATTAAAAAATTAATAGATTACTAATTCATCATCTTTTTCATTATCTATTAGTAAATTAATAATATTTTAAAATAATTACTAAAAATTTATTGAACAGCTCGCGAACTTATCGAATCGAGTTGACCTTTGGTCATTTCAACCCATTAAAATTTCGAGTCGAGTTAATTCAAATCGAACTTTGATAAAGTCGAGTTTTAGCTGACTCATTAACGAGTTCTGTTCACAACTAGAGAGAAAGAAAAACCGATAGCTGCTGCTGTTTTATGATGCTACGTCGTTTAAGTTCGCCGTGCTGTTGTACGGACTTTTGGGGTTGCCGTCCGAATTTTGGAATCGTTTCTATTATTGCAACAGTTACGTGGGACCCCCAACTTCATTTTGTTTCTCAAGTCTACGTAGGTTTGGGTTCCGGCCAATGGCAACGTGCCAGTGCCATGTCATCGCCTCAACAGTTCGACTTTGACTTGGCATATTAATATTATTATATTTAAAATTTTGAACTATTCTAAACTTTAATAAAATATTATTTTTAATTCAACAGTTATAGTTTTTATTTATATTGTAAATTACAACATCTTTTATAGTAATATTTTTAAAGAGAGTATGCATGGCATAATCTATATGAAGAATCCCTAAAAATGCATTAATATCCCATGGGATTATTCAACCTATTAATGGTTTAAACAGTAAGGTTTCTTAATGGAAATTATTGCTCAATCAAAGTGTTTGAAACGTAGGAGGAAGAAATATCCAAGGGGTGGAGCAAGTTGCAAAGATGGTGGCATGATTTTCATGGCCACGCCGGCCAATCGACTTGTGTCCATCATTCTTTGTCATAACAACGTAAAGTTGAATGTTTGTAATACCAATATTAGATTAAATTCCAAAATCCTTTCAGGACAAGCGTGGAAGTTTTTCTTTGTTTTTGCTTAATCCATTTTTAGTTACTTTAAAAGTAAGATTTGAAGCATTTTTTGGATCAGTGATGATTATGTTTCTAAGC